CTGTCGCCGCCCGGGCCAAAAGTCCTTATTTGCGAGAGACAATAAGGGAAATTTAAGAGCGCCGGCCCCTCGGGTGGTGTAAATAATTCGGTCGGCCTGGAAAACTAGAGCCTGGATGCTGCATTTCTCCCCCCCGGGGCAGCCGGCCATTCGGCACCCACCTGCTACCCGGCGCGGGGGCCCTTTGGAGTTCACCGTGTGATATGTACACACACACACACACAGCTCCTCGCCATTTACCCATCAGCCTGGGTGGACACACACACACGCGCACACACACAGCCAGACCAGTCTGGACACATCTGGCTGCATCCAGTTAGCAACCAACCGGTCACAGAGGTCGTGGCTGGTCAGTAGGGGGGGGGGTTAATACAATTTCAGCCAAGATCTGTGGCGTGCGCTTGAAAAACGGTGGTGGCAGAACAGAAGTCGGGTGAGAACCGAAACTACCTCAACCTGCAGCTGGGTTAAGAAAAGAAAGTCCCCTTTCCTTCTCGCGTGTCAACAGGAAGTCTGACTCGCTTGTTTTGGACCGAAGATTCAACGAAGCGCAGAAGATGTCGCAAAGTGCGCTTTAGGAGAAGCAAAACAAACCAAAGGGCAACGGGGCCCGAAAAACACGGAGCCGAGAAGCAGACCCTGAGGGACCTCCATCCAGAAGCCCCCTCTTTGTGTCAATGAGAGAAACCCTTTTAGGATCCTTTTATTTCACAGAGAAGCGTTCAAAAGACAAATCAAGGCCAAATTAACACCCAGTTTATTGTTTTTGAACACTTTTAAAACAGCTAAAAAGCTAGTAATGTTTTCCTTTGTGAGAAAACGCAATAAATGGCTCTATCTCCAGATCATTTTGAGAGGTTTAAACCATAAGAGAAGCGGACAAGGTTTTACAGGCAAACGCTCAAGCTCAGCCTACACAATGTTTCTTATTGTAAAAGAAAAAAGGAAGAAAAGAAGGTCAATTTAGAGGCATGGCAGGTTCGTGGGGCCTCCGTCCAAAGGGGTGAGAACTGGGCCGGGTGGGGATCTGGATGTTATTGGGATTCGGATCCCGCCTGAGCCCCCCCGTGTCTGGGCTCCCTGCTCCCTCTCCCACGCGCCGACGGCCCGACCGCGAAATAAAAAAAAACCCGGGGGGGAGCCGAGCCGTTTTCTCAAAAGGTCAGCGGAAACTTGGCCGAGCGGGAGGGTGTTACGGGGCAGATCTTTAGCTTCAAAAAGCTCGACGCGCGGCATTTACGGTGGGAATAGTTAGGGTGAGTTAATGAAACATTCCTCACCCTACGCAGTGGGTGGGGGGGGGGGGGGGGGGGTTCTGCCGACGGAGAAGCGTTTTACGGCCCCCATCAGGTGGATGATTCACATTGCTGCGTTGCAACAAGCACGAAGTACACGGTGATTCACACCTTTTCTAAGATATACATAAAGATGTATGGAAGCCCGAACCGGTTTCTAACACACCCTTACAAACAGGATTCACCTCATTTTTCTAAATCGGAATCAAAGCTAGTTTAGGCCCCACATGGATTTATTCGAAATGTAGCTTTGTTGTCATATCATTCCACGAACTACATATAAACAATACTTTTCTGTAATCTTATCTCAACTCCTTCACTTCACCTCTTTTATCTTAACCCGCTTTCCTAGAAGCACAAAGCACTGGTATTCCACCTTGATTTGGGCAAAAAAATGTTTTTGGAAACAATAAATGCCCAAGGACAATTACTTTCTGATTTTATACCCTATTTCTGATAAGCTTGCTTAAAAAAAAAAAAAAAAAAAAAATTAAGAAATATCAATTACTTAAAATGCTGACGAACCAATGTGGAAACTGGAGTATCTCTCATGTGAAGGGTAAATAAACCACAGA